CCCCAAAACCCCAAAACCCCAAAACCCCAAAACCCCTTTTCTAATATATTTTTCAAGAATTTAAAAGAGTCACAAAATGAATAACCTAGATGGAGAGTGACGCTTAAATATAACCAAAGTCTATTGATATACTTAGCATAGGTCTTAATTTAGGAGTAATCTTCAGTTCTCTCTTTTGGTAATGGAGCATCTTCATGGAAATCATGCTCTAAGTTCATTCCTAAGCCGGCTCCTGCAGCATGTCCAATAGCTTCATAGAGATGATGGTTCTTTGTGAATTCCTGCAGAGAAGCATACAGTGGGGTATATTTGATCAACTCAGACAAAGCATTTATCTTGTCATCATGAGTAGCAGGCTTGATATTAAATTTACTAATAACTTGGTGAGATTCAAGGGGCTCAATGGTGCTAGCACTCTCAAATCTGGGAGCCATTGATCCATAGATATATCTATCTACTTCTTTGAGAACTGTTCTTTCAACATTCATCTTGATAAATGATAGATCAAACTCTTTGAATTTCATGCCTGAGAATTGTCTGTTTACAAAATTTCTGACAAATCCAGACATTGTTCCGATAATAGAGTTCAGATCTCTGACATTAGTGATGACGAATTTATCCAAGCTTAATTCATCTGCTTTGAATCTCATTTTGCTGATATCAGTTTTAAAAGTGAAAGGAGAATCAATTCTGAAATTGGCAACTACGTTCATGTTAGACTTTACTTCAAGGAAAGGATCCCTATTGCCTTGGCTATCTAAAGTAGCAAAGCTGACTTGAACAACAAGATCTGCAGTAGTCTCTCCATTAATTATCTTGAGTGTTGGAGTAACGTCATCTACTGCATGAACAAAAATACTGAGAGGAGTGTCCTTCTCAACATGCTTGTGCAACTCTGGGAAAAGAATGAACAAAGTAGAGGCTGGAATTGGAGGAGCTGGTTTTCCTTCTTCTGCTGTTCCTAATGTTCTCAAATCATATTTGAGTAAATCGTTGTAATAAGCAGACCAAAGAGTAGTATTCAAGGTGTAGTCGGAGATGAACAAAGAAATGTCCTTCAAGCTACGATCAAATTTGTATGGGATCTTTCTTAGCTCAGGATAGCCAAATCTAGTATCAACATTTGGGGATGCCTCTCCCTTGAAAACAAGGACAAGATCATTATCTGTAAAAATCGGCTGTTGCATAGCACACCAATTGAATACCATTGGTCCAAAGTCTTCTTCACATCCATTTCTTGCAAGAGCAGAATTGATTGACGGAAGAGCAAGATTTACAATCTGAGCAAGTGTTTCATTTGGATTCTGCAATAATTGACCTTGGAGCAATACTGCTGCTTGATTCAAAGCAAAAGATAGATCTCCTGTCCCATTGAAATAACTTCCACTTGCATCCTCTTTGAGTTCAGCATTGATTTCATCAATCTTGAATTGGAAAGCTCCTTCAATTTCGAAGATAGTTAGTCCAATTCTGAACTTATCGAATTCAAAATGAACTGCTCCTTCACCAACGTCATCATAAAATTTAGGTCTAGCAGTAACATTAAAGTTGAAATCAAGGTTTGTTTTGAAATCTACCAAGTCAATCAGAATATTTGGCTTCTCTTCTTGGAATCTAATAGAGGATTTCCTGTAGTCCATTCCGAAGTCATCCAGATCTATGTCTGTAATTTCATAGAAGACTTTGAACAGATCCAAATCAGTGCTATTTGCATAGCTCCTGTCTGTAGGTCTGAAGTGAGTAAATATCTCATTGATTAACTCTGTCTTAACTGTTTCCAGGAATTGATTGGTAATCCTAAGCATTATTCCTCCGTCGATCTCGTCTTCAGCATGCACCCTATACATTGATTAGTATTTTCTCTTGTAGTGAGACTAGTAGGTTAGAAAGAATTTAGGTAGAAGTTTAAATAGCACTTAGTGCAAAGTTTCCTCAGCATTAATTAATATCTAATCAGGACAGATTAACCTGCCAAAACTTCTAGTTTCTTCAAGTTTATTTATATATCCTAAAGCTGTGCCACGTGGCAAACCTGGCAGAAAGTGATCATAAAGTATCTCCACAAACGATAAATATATCTCTATCATCAGATAATAACTTGTCACATAAAAAGGAGAAGACACGATAAAAGCAATGATAAGGGAACTAAATTTAATTCTATGTACATAATCAAAAACTCTAAACTCTAGATTGCTAAAAACAGGAACGAGTTGCATTATAGGTCTTTTTATATTCACCCTCAGTCATGTGTTGATCGCCATACTTACCCTTTCACTGCAGAAAAGAGGACGATGAAAACAAGGAGTAGAGAACTCAAAATTTTCATTTTTATTATTTATTATTTATCTTAATACCATCCAACTCCATTTATTCTGAAGGGGTTTTGGGGTTTTGGGGTTTTGGGGTTTTGGGGTTTTGGGGTTTTGGGG